TTATTTTTTCGGAGTGTGTGACCGATCCAACCCCACTTTCTGGACTTTATTTCATTTACTACCCTCTTTTGTTTGGTCAGGTGTAGTAAGTCTTCGTTTCTGATGATGTTAGGCCAGAAAATACGAACAATTCTTCGTAGACATTTATTAACAAAGACCTGCAGTTTGTCTGTAAGGGTTTTTGTCGCTTTCCAGGTTTCACATCCGTAAAGTAGTACAGACATGACATTTGACTGGAATATGCGGATCTTTGTCCTCGTAGTGTATTCTCCAGACCTCCAAACAGGGTTGAGCATGCTGAAAGCTTGTTGCGCTTTTCGTATCCTCATACGAATATCGTCTTCTGTACCTCCGCTTTCTGTTATGACACTTCCAAGATACGTAAAGTTTTCCACATTTTCAATCTGCATGTTATTAATGGTGAATAGCGTGTTGTTTCTTGCATTTATTCTCATGGATTTGGTTTTACCAATATTGATTTTCAAACCTATTTTATTGGCTTCAGTGGAAAGTGTTTCCAATTGGTCAGCCACATCTTGGAACCTTTGTCCTAACAGGCAGATATCGTCGGCGTATTCTAGATCGCTTAGGCGTGTGGTTAACGTCCATTGTATCCCTCTTGTGTCAGAGTCTAGTTTGGAGAGAACATAGTCTAGAGCTATGTTAAAAAGAAACGGAGAAAGCACGCATCCCTGTCTGACTCCAGTAAGTACGTCAAATTCGTCACTGTTGATCCCATTGTGTGTCACGCTGCATTTCGCTTCAGTGTACAGTAACTTTATAATGGAAATTATTTTATGCGGGATGTTTCTTAGCTCTAAAATTTTCCATATTGCATCATGAGATAAGCTGTCAAAAGCACGCTCGAAATCAACAAAAACCATGTATAGGGGTGTGTTCCATTCAACCGATTGTTCCATTATTAGCCTCACAGTATTAATGTGGTCTATGCAGGAGGATTCTGGTCTAAAGCCTACTTGATTAGCTCGAAATTCAACCTTGTTTGTTAATCTTTTAAGTATGATGGTCGTGAAGATTTTATTTATGGCGGTAAGCAAGGTTATTCCTCTCCAATTTTTGCATAGTGTGAGGTTGCCCTTTTTTAGAAGCTTAGTAATGATGCCTTTTTTCCAGCCCGCTGGAATGCGGTTTGTTTCCCACACCTCTCGGATTATGGGGAGCAGAAGTTCAGCAGTTAGATGCGGATCAGTTTTAAGCATTTCGGCAGCAATGTTATCGATTCCCGGAGACTTGTTATTTTTCAGAGATTTGATAGCTGTTATTATCTCTGTTTTGGAAGGGGCGTCGCAAGATATACGCAAGTCTATATTCTGTGGATTTTCGACAATTTCATGTGCGTTATCCCTGGGCGTGCCTACCATCTCCTGAAAATGCTCTTTCCATCTCTCTATTTGGTCATTTGTTGTGGTAAGTAGTTCTCCTGTCTTGGATCTTACGACGTTTGAACAGTTGGGCCCACTTTTTGTTAGACGTCTGGTAATTTGGTATAGCTCTCTAGTTCTATTGTGTTGTGCAGCTATTTCGGCTTGTTTTGCCAGTTCTTCAGTCCATCTTCTTTTGTCTCTTCTTGCATTTCTTTTAACTGCTTTATTTATTGTTTCATATTCTTGTTGTCGGTTCGCTCTTTCTTCTACAGTTCTTGCTTGCAGAATATCTTTTTTTTGCTGTTTTCTTTCTTCGATAAGATTCCAAGTTTCATCTGATATCCATTCTTTTCTATGTTTCTCTTTTTTACCGAGTTTATATTCAGCTATTTCTGTCAAAACATTTGCCAGATCTTCCCAGCTATTTACTTCACGTTCTCTTCTTTTGAGTTGAAGTTCCTCCCTAAACATGTGTCTTCCTGTAGCCGTTTTTAATTTGTCTAGATTGTATGTTGGTCGTTTGGTGTTTCGTGTGATTTTGTTTTTTGCCATTTTGATTTTAATGGTACCGATTACAAGATGATGGTCACTTGCGATGTCTGCTCCTCTTTTGTTACGTACATCAAGGAGGGATGATCTCCATCTTTTTGATATGGCGATGTGGTCTATTTGATTTTCTCTTATATGACCTGGTGCAGTCCATGTAACCTTGTGAATATTTTTATGTGGGAAGATAGTTCCACCAATAACTAAGCTATGATTGGAGCAAAAATTTGTAAAGCGCTCTCCGTTTTCATTCATCACTCCCAGGCAGGGGGAACATAAAATTAGTATAAAAGCATAAAATTTGTTCTATAAAAATGAAATCAAATAAAAAATAATTTCGACACTACTGCTTAAATTCAAAATAATTCCAAACAATTAGAAATTCTAAACCAAATATAATTCTTAGGTAATTAAATGTTCAAACAAACCACCAAATTGTAACGAACAGTAATCAAATATATTATACAACGCATTTCTAATGACGTTGAGTTCATCTGCCGATACGTTTTTGCTAAGTTGGAATATCTTTTCCTTCAGTTCCTCCAAGTTGGTGACTCGCTCGAACTCATGCCTGTACAATTTCGTTTTTGCATCCCCAAAAAAAATCTAGAGGAGCTAAGTCGAGTGACCGGGGGGGGGGGGACATTTTATTGTATCGTCTGTACTAATGACATGTTCAGCAACAATTAACGCTAAATAGTCTCTAATGACTTTTGCATTATGTTCAGAGCCATCTTGTTGAAACCAAATTTCGTTGAAGTTAATTTGAAGACGTTGAAGTGCAGGAATAATTTGATTTAACAGTAATTGGAGATATTTGACTGCGTTTAAATTGTCAATAAAAAAAGGACCAATAATATGCACTCAAATGCTTATTCTCATAAGGTCAATAACATACAATACAGAAGCCCTTAACAATGCCTTACCCGATATAAGAAATCAAAGTTTCACTGTCAAGTGAGCATCGCGCACATACAACATTCCTGTGACAACATTACGGGATCACTTGAGTGAAAGAAGAGGCGCGAAGGAATCAGGACAAGGTCGATCTACCGACATTCAATTGGCAGAAGAAAGGCAATTGGCAGAAGATCTTCGCACGATGGAGCAATGGGGATTCAGTTTGTCCCGTAAAGAAGTATTAGAATTAACCCAACAGTTCGTCCAATCAAACAACTTATAAACTCAATTCAAAGATGGTAGACCAGGTAAAGACTGGTTCTTAAATTTTAAAAGAAGACATCGGTTGTCAATAAAGAAACCGGAAATAGTTGAGTTTGCAAGGAAGAAAGCCATGAATGCTTTTGTCCTCAAAGATTATTTTAAGTGATTGAGCGAAACCATTCAATCTTTGGGACTTGCTGACAAACCTGAGAGAATCTACAATATAGATGAAACAGGATTTTCGAGTGATCCCTCTAAAACAAAAGTTGTTGGGAAACAAGGAGTACCATGCACAAGAATCACCAGTGAACCGGGAAGGGAGAACACTTCAGTGGTGATGGCAGCAAGCGCTAGTGGCGAAAAAGTTCCTCCATTAATCGTTTTTGAAGGCAAGAAAGCATGCTAGCAAGCATGCTATTTAGGGTGGCAGTGAATAAAATTAAAATAGCTATGATCGTAACCAACGTTCTGAAAGGACATGGTACATGAAGCAGAAGAAAGGCAAGAATATCTGGGATAAATGGATGGCCGACGAACATGATGCTTTCCCTGGTACTGCTTATGCCGCTACTAAAAATGGTTAAATTGAAGGTATTGTATTTCGCAACTATTTTGAGCGTAATTTTGTAAAAAACATTGGTCCTGATCGGCCTATACCGGAATTACGCGAGATCGAAAGGAATCACCATCCTCAAACTATCGGCTCATACAAGTCATATTCTCCTGCCATTGGATTTAGCGGTGTTCAAAGCTTTAAAATCACGGCGGGACGAAGAACTTGTAAAGTGGCAGTGACAGTTTATTGGTCAGAGACTTCCCAACAAAAATTTTTTTTTGCTGATTTAGAAAATATGGACATCTGAAGATTGTTACGAGGCTTCTTCTTTAATGCGATGGCAGATTTTAGTGGACGTCAGATATCAGCATCAAGAGACTTCTCTAGATGTGACAGATGTTGCCACCTTCGAGACAAACTCGTGAGTATCGTATTCCAACAATATGGACGTAGGATTTTGGCGAGCTACTCTCGTAACCGTATGACTTTTTTCTCTGTTTTTCAGATGTCCAGTATCTATCGAACATTTCCTACTATAAATCGTAAAAAGCGGAACACCAGCTCCAGCAAAAAAGAAGAAGCGAATTGCAGCAGACAGTGAAGTGACAGGTGACTACCCAGGTGAAGTTCCTGAGGAAAAAAAAGTGCTTTGTTTTTCCTCAGATGAAAGATATATCCCTTGTGACAAAAGAGAATATCCTTAAAGTATTACCAGCTCCACATGTAGGAGAGGAATACATAATTTCAATATTAAGTTTCCGCAAGATATACAACATAAATTTAGATAAACTGTACAATTTTTGCCTTTAAATAAAATATTTTCTCATTTTTTGGTGTGTTATTAGACCCTTCTGAAGTTATTTTGTTTTCAAAATTATGAAATTAAAAAAAAATTGTTTAGAACTGTGTTAAACAGTAAACTTAAGTGCACTTATCCCGTAATTCAACGCAAGGAAACTATATAAAATTATGCCCGGGAGACGCACTGGCCCCAAACTGACGGGGCAAGTGCACTACTGCGATATGTAAGAAAAAAAAATTATAATTATTAATCGTGAAAAGCCACAGATTTGGAATCTTCCCTAAATAAAGACCATTGTCAAAGTACTTGGTGCACTTATTCTCGATTTAGCAGAAATAACCCAATTGAAGCATTGATACAACAATTAAAACCAAATATGAGTAAAAGGGGACGCACATCCCCCCCCTTTCCCTAACCGTTTTTTATTATAGTGAAAATATTGTATTTCTTTTAAACTAACATTGTAATTTTGTAATTTATTATATAACAGTAGCTAAGTATATTGATAATAAAATATAAAAACTAATATGTTTATCTTTGTTTTCAGGTACTCAAGATACCAAACGGTATTCATCAAAATTAATATTAAACGCTATCGTCAAAAATGTTTTTCAAAATAAATAAACGAGTATGGATCAACTTTTTCATCTTTGTGATATTAACTATAACTATTGTATTTATGTTCTCAGACGATCACGTAACAGAAATACATAATAAGATAAACAGTGAAAAGAAAGAGGAACGTGTCACTGTATCTTATAATATTACGACGACTTCTTCTACTAGTACGGTTACTAGTACTTCAACAACTACTAATTCCGCTATTTCTAATAGTACTTCTCCTACTACCCCTTCTACCATATCGTCCACACCAGGTGACGATATACACTGTTACAGAGAAACAAGTATAGGTTCCCTTCCCGATATTTCTGAAATATCCCCTAGACCCGGGAAATCAATTTTCTTCCACGAAACTTCTTGTAAATCCTTCAAAAAAGGTAAAATTACCATCAATTCTAGACAAGCATGCGCAGTGGAGAGCGCAGCACGTCTTAATCCAAATTTAGATATTTATGTGCTATACTCCTCACCAGGTCTTATTAAGTCCGAAGGAGATGAGTCTGATAAATTTCTTAATGTCCTACAGAGTTACAAAAATGTGAAAATAATGCACTTGGACTATGAGCAATATACCAAAGGAACTCCTGTGGAGGAACTGTACAGCTCTGGAAAGATAGAAAAGTCAATGTACGTTGTATCACACGCAAGTGATGTTTTAAGGTAAGAGCAATAAATTATTCCTAAACTTAGTAGATGGTAGCGTAAGGTTTTAGATTTTCGGAGAGACACGTAACAACAAATATTTATTTTCTTTTATTAATGTTCGTAAAAATAAATATTTATTTTAATGAAGATCATGGTTGTATGTTGAAACAAGTTTTGAGCAGATTTTCTTACTGTCTGTTCAATAGAGTCTAAGATGTCTAAGAGTGTTTTTCAGGTGTTACGATGCTAAAGATGATAATAAGAGTACGTTAAGTTTTAAATTAGATATTTACTTTACTTAATCAGTAGACCCATTTGTACCTTTCGGTGTCGGGCCGTTTATAATACAATTCATTAAATTACAATATTTTACAATCTTTTGAGGTATCCTAGCTCTTAACAAACTTTCTCCATACCTTCCTATTGGATGCCATCTGTTATGCTTCCTGCCAAGTCTTACCCTTACTCTACAGTATCTGCAAAATGTCATTGTTCCATTCTTTAATGGTTCTTCCTCTTCTGTGCTTCTACAGTATCTGCGAGATGTCACTGTTCCATTCTTTAATGGTTCTTCCTCTTCTGTTCTTCCCTATTGGTTTGGCGTCCCACACTCTTTTTACTTGTCTATTATTGTCCATCCGGGTTAGATGTCCTAACCATGCCAATTTTTTCTCCTTGATTGAGTCGAGTATCGGTTTGATTTTGAGTCTTTCTCTTATTTCTTCATTTCTGAATCTATCAGTTCTTTTTACTCGGATCGTTCTTCATCGTTTACTGTAGGTCTATATATTGTTTTGTATATTGTCATCTTGGTCTTTGTTGATATTTCTTTGTTATTAAGGAATCCCCTATTTAGTGCTTGGAATAGTTTTCCTGTGTTTTCCATTCTCTTATTAAGATCGTCCTCGATATCGCCTTTGTTGTTGATTACTGTTCCTAAGTATTTGTATGCTGTCTGTATTATTTTTTGTTGGTCTATCATTACTTCTCTTTGATCTTCCGTCCCTTGTTTCCTTGATATTTTCATTATCTGAGTCTTGTCTTTGTTTAAGTTTAAGTTGTATTTGCTTGCTTCTAGGTTCCATTTCTTTAAGTTGTATTTCAGTTTTGCTGTTTCCGCAATTAATACTATGTCGTATGAAAAATTTACACATCTCAGCGTTTATCATTTGCATTCTGTTCAAATCGATGCAGTATTTCTTGAATGTTTTCTTGCATTCTTTTACTTTCTCATATATTACATTTATGAATAGCACTGGGCTGAGACTTCCCCCTTGTCTAACTCCTTGAGTTGTTTCAAATGGTACTGACTGTATATTTAACATTCTTACTGTATTTGTTGTTTTTATGTATATACTCTTTGTTGCTTCTATCAGTTCTTCACTTATTTGCTTCTTCTTTAGGCTTTCTCATATATCTTTTCTTTTGGCTGAGTCGAATGCTTTTTCCATGTCTATAAAGCTCAGATATATTTCTCTATTTTTCTTTAAGGCTTTTTCTATTACTTGTTGCATGGTGAATAACTACGTAAATTATTCTATTACAAAGTCCTTATACATATGCATGAAGAAAAAGATGATATTAAACTTAAACAATCAGACCTATCAAACTAGGTATTTACGGAATAATCCAAATTTACACAAATGTAATTAATCCATACTCTATGATTGTTAAAAAAAACAAAGTAAAATCAGCTGTACGTCTTCATGGATTTGCCATCAACTATCCCTGATATACCTTTTAGAACCTATGGACCCTTGGCCCATAATCGTATTTTTCTTCATGCAACTATCTGTTATCTATTTTTATTTTACAGATTTCTATCTCTGTGGAAATACGGTGGTTATTATTTCGATCTCGATGTGGTACATTTAAAACCCATTCAAGACCTACCTCTTAGTTTCGCTGGAATAGAAGCTGAGGTTGATTTGGGTTCTGCAGCTTTAAGTTTTTCTCCAGATGGAATTGGACACGAACTCGCTGAACAGTGCCTGGAAGATTTGAGAGAGTGTTTTGATGGAAACGCATGGGCCACCAATGGTCCAGGTGTAATTACGAGGTAAAGCTAATTTTTTAGATCTGTTTAGTACTTGTATCTTTTCTCTACTTATCTCTAGTATAAGAACTATAAGAACTACAAACAGATGTAGCTCGGTTCTAAATTCTAACTACTCAAGATTAGTTACGATTCTTCTTCGCCTGTCATTTGTGCGCGATGATTTTTCACTCATTGCCTCGGTTTAACATGAATTACATTTAGTAATTCATTTTTTGTGTACACAAGGTAATAATACATAACATTAGAACTATTTCAAAAATATAAAAAAAAATATGAGTTCAAGGACAGACGTAAAGGTATCCAGACGGACCAAATAATTACGTCAGTGAGCACAATACTTAAAATCACAAACGTAGTCGTACAATCGTCATCATTATCTAGAGTTACTACCCTTGTTGGATCTTGTATCTGCAATCTGTAGTGAAATAGGATGTACATTTTTTGGAGATCTGATTAGATGGTGTCTCTCGGTCGCATTCTAGGACGCCCAAGTTGCCTTTTTTATGCAGGAACGTCCTCACAAATCAGTTTTACAAGTTTTTCAATATAAAGTCTATGTATATGCTATGCCCAATGTAGTAGTTGTGATTTATGATTTGTGGTGTGGTCATTTACTTTACTTGTTATCCATGTTTGGTAACTACACGGTTACTTTTTCTTCTTAACGTGCCCCATCCCTTAGGACATTGGCGATTATCACGGTCCATTTGACTCTATCTGCAGCCGTTCTGAAAAGTTCTATTGACGTTTTCCCACTCTCAGGACGTGCGTTTTCTCCCCGGTCCTCTTTTGCCTTTCACCTTCCCTTGTATGACCAGCCGCATCAATTCGTATTTCTCGTTTCTTAGATGTGACCAAAGTAGCTCATTTTTCTTTTCTTTATAGTGTTGAGTATTTGTTTATCTTTTTTCATTCTTCGTAGCGTTTCCGCATTTGTTATATGTTGTGTCCAAGATATTTTGCACATTCTTCGATAACACCACATTTCCAAGTTATTGAGTCTTTTCTCTGTCGCCTCTGTAATTGTCCAGGCCTCAACTCCATACAACAGGACAGAGAATACGTAGCATTTCAATACTCTAGTTCTAATTTCAATGTTGAGTTTTCCATCGCATAATATTACTTTCATTTTATTAAAAGCACTTCTAGCTATCTCAATACGCCGTTTTATTTCCATACTTCTATCCCTTTCTTCATTTAGTTCGCAACCTAAGTATTGATATCTGTGCACCCTGCCTAAAAGTTTTTCTTTGGCATAAACACTGTCTTCCTCAATCTCGTTCTTGTTTACCACCATGATTTTTGTTTTATTTGTATTCAGTGCCATTCTATACCTTTCGCAGTATTGGGTAATGCGATAAACCAAGATCTATATTCCTTCTCTGGTGTCCGCAAGGAGTATTGTGTCATCTGCGCATTTAAGATTATTCAGAAGTGCTCCGTTAATAAATGTGCCTTCATTTGCGTCTTCTAATGCCTCTTTAAACAATTCTTCTAAATACATATTAAAAATTAAAGGGGAAAGCACACATCCTTGTCTTACTCCACGATTTATAGGTATTTCTTTCGATTTTTGTTGGTCTATTCGTATTATGACGTTCTGATATCGGTATAGATTGGCAATGATTTTCACGTCGTCGTCATCTAATTCTGTGTTCTGCAATATTGTTGCCATTCTTCTTCAAAGCCTTTTCTGAATCCCAATTGGTTTTCAGCTATTCTATCATCTAGCTTTTTATAGATACGTTCGTGTATTACTCGTAAGAACACTTTTAGAATATGGTTTATCAAGCTAATTGTCCTGTGTTCTTCACACTTCAGTGCGTTTGATTTTTTGGGTATTGGAATGAATATTGATATTAACCATTCTTTCGGAATCTTTCCCCGCATAATAAATGTCATTAAATAATTCTATTAGTGTGCCCATATGATTCTTTGTTAATATTCTTAAGATTTCTGTAGGTATTCCATCTGGTCCCATGGCCTTCTCATTTTTTATACGTTTTAGCGCTTTCTCAATTTCGTCTTTGGTTGTTGGTGGCTCATTTCTTCCTCTTGGTTCAATGACCCCAATTTTCTCGTCGTCTTCGAATAGCTCTTTTATGTTGTATGGTTACTATATGTCTGATAAGCTTATGAAATTTTTCAATTTCATAAGCTTATCCAGTGCGTACCGATGGGAGTTTGCAGCTTGGATTTTTAACAGTCGTAGTTATTGCACCAAGCTATTTGAAACGTCTAACTCTTTTTAAGTTGTACGTGTTGACTGTTACTTTTTGCTCAATTCTTTCTCTTCGGCCTATTCCATTTAGGCACATGTGTTTGTTTTCTTTTTATTTTAAATAAACTGACTTTAAATACAACTTTTTTGTTACTTACTCAACCTTATTGAAAATATCTTTTACGAATAATATGAAATTTTTCATGAGATCGATGCCATTTTTCTATATTAACAGCAGCTTGGGACCTTGAGCTATTACTAGTTTGGTACTTTTTATTTCAGCTGATTTCACCGTTTTTTTAATACAAGACTTATTTTCAGCATCACCTTGCTCCATTCCGCTTTTTTATTTCAAAGCTTCTGAATAGTGTATTGTTCGTTTATACACTGCATCCACTATGTAGACTTTGGTCCTCTAGTCATCTAAATAAGTTGTTTTTGTATTGGAAGCCCCACCATCGCATTCAATACTTGATTGCTTTTTTACTTTTACTTGATTACTTTTTTCTATGCTATCATATGCTTGTCCGAAGTCTTTATGAATGGATTTGTTAAATTCCCATCCTTTCTCCAGAAGTCATCATCATCATCATCATTATCCAGCCCTTTGTGTTCACTGCTGGACATGAAATTCGCTGATTTTTGTCCAATATTCGTATCTTGAGCACTTTTCATCCAATTTCTTGACAATTTCTTGAGATTGTCAGTCCAACGAGTAGGGGTTCTTCCTCTACTTCTTTTGTCTAACCTCGGTCTCCACTCAAGCAATCTCTTCAGCCACCTTTCATCACTGAAATTACATCGGTAATTCCTATTCTTCGTCTTCAGTCTTCATTTTTAATACTCAGTATCGATCTTTCCATTTTTTTCTGAGCTATTTACAGCATTTTAGAAGTCAATTTACAGCGTTTTACAGTTTTAGCTGTCAATGTCAAAGTTTCGGCGCTATAGGTCATCACAGGCATCACTCGTTTGTCAAATGTTTTACGTTTTAAAGACATTGGTATATCGCTTTTAAAGATATCTTTGAATTTTCCATAGACTGCTCATGCCAAGTTTATTCTGTTTCGTTTGGTTGTCTCTTATGATTTTTATTTCGTGTCCAAGGTATATGTATTTTTCCATCAGCTCTACTTCGTTGTCTCCAATGTTGATGTTTCCTCTAGGTACTAGATTTGCCATATGAATTTTGTTTTGGAGGTGTTTATTTTAAGACCCACACTGGCACACACTAACTGAAGTTCATGTAGCATTGTACATATCTCCTTGAATTTGTCCGAGAACAAAACTATGTCGTCTGTGACATTCAAATTTGTTAATCTTCTACCGTCAATGTTCAGGCCTTTCTCTTCCCAGTTAAGTTTTTTACAAGCCTATTCTAGTATTGCGGTAAACAGTTTAGGCGATAAGGTATCACCCTGTCGGATTCCTCTGCCGATTGGATCCGTGTTTTTATGTTGTTTCACCGACATAGTGTTTTTGTATTTATTATTAATTAATCTTGTATATCGGTAGTCAATGTGGCATGACTGTAGTGCTTCCAGGATTTTGTCAAATTCTACCGTGCCAAAGGCTTTATGGAAATCTACAAAAGCCAGGACAAGTGGTCGATTGTATTCGATAGTCTTTTCTATTGTCGTTTTAATGCTCTCTAGGTGATCATTTGTTTCAAATCCGGTACGAAACCCCGCTTGCTCTATTAGCTGGTAGAAATCAAGATTTTTTCAAGACGATTTGTTACTATGCTTGTAAGGGGTTTGTATAGGTGACTAAGAAGACTTATAGGTCTGTAGTTTTCTAATTCTTGGGGATCTCCTTTTTTGCACAATAGAATTTTGGCCAGCATTGTGCCATTTGTCGGGTATATTACTGTCCAAAGATTTTCATTGCATTAGTAACTACACAATCTTCGCCTGGAGATTTGTTATGCTTAGCTTTTCTTAGAACTACTTTTATTTCGTCTATTGTGATTTCTGGTAGTAGTTCTGATCCATGGTTTGACAATGCCCTTTTTCGTTGTTAATATTTCTGGTACTTGATCTTCTCTGCTATTTGCTTTGTGTTGGCTTGTTTAAAGCAATTTAGAGAAGTCTTCAACTATGGTAACAGGTCACCTCCAGAAGTCACCTCAATATAAATAGTTAATCCATTGTTGATCTGTTTACCCTATTCCGACTTGATTTTGTCCCCCTTTTGTAAAAGGGCACTTGTTACCTTTTTCCTTCTTGCCATACGAGCTGGTGCATTTAATAATTTGTGATTTTAGTAATTCTGCTAGTATTTCATCGGTCGGTTTAAGTCTTATATTTAGAAGGTTCTTGAAATAGTATTTTCATTATTCCAATAATTTCGTCTTGAATATCAAATGTCCTTCGTTATTTTTTAGTGTTGATGGTAAGGAGTAATTTCTTTTCTCCAAGAAAATTGCTTTATAGAATTTGATACAACTGAGTTTGAGTAAATCTCTTTTTATTGCTTCAAATTGGTATTGCCGATTTTTATTGTTTCTTTTTTTTTGTTCTTACCAACTTTCATGTTTCTTTTCTTCAGTCATCAGTATTTCTTTTTATTTTCGGTTGTTTGTTTATTAATCAGCTTTTCCTTATTATTTTCCTTTTTTTACAGCTGATTTCGACGTTCCTACAATTCTACGCAGAAAATTTGAAGAAAGATGTTTAGTGGTGCTTGAGAAACTTGAAAGGTTCAATATTTTAATAGCTACTACGTCACAAGTGCCTATGTCGCACACCGTTTTTACCAACCCTATTCCTACTTCCTCTTCTACTACTACCCCTATACCACAGTATAAAGAGGTTCCACCTCTGGAACCTCTTTATACTGTGCCTGTACCAACTAAGAATATAATTGAACTCGTAAATTCGAAAAGAGGAACTCTCCGCTGACAGTTGCCGCGGCAGAAGCTGATATCTTGAGGAACTAAGCATCTGCTGGCTTATAAAGTTTTGAACAAAATATCATTGTAAATAAATTTGGTTTTTTTGTGTAACAGAAAAACTAAGATCTTATCGAAACCGTATATTATATTAATAAAATATTATTTTTTAGGGTATTAAAGAAGCACTGTAACGTAACACAACCAACAGACTGGTTAGATAGAAAATGTGAAGGTGTAACCATTTATCCAGCTTCTACGTTTTTCGCAATTCCATACCAAAGTAATGAGTATTTTTTTGACAAGAATTCGTTATCATTAGTAAAAAATGAAACTAAAGATAGCTACATCTTCCACGCCTGGAACAAGTTAACTGTAGGGCGTAAGATCTCGGTTAAAACAAATGTACCTTACTTATATTTTGCCAGGAAGTATTGTACGAAGGTGGTTGCAGCTTGTAATGAATATTTTTGATTTTTTCAGGTTGTGTTTGAGCTTCGCAGCTCGGTTATTAAAGAAGATATCGGTCCAATTAAATGTACCGTATATATTTTGCTAGAAGTATTGTACGAAAATTTTTTGCAGCTTGTAATAAATATTTTTGATATTATTAGTATTTTACTTTTATTGGCTTGTGGGAGTTTTTGCCAGTTCTTCTATGAGACGCGGCCCCCTGCGAATGGGGGATGCTTTCATGCTTTCTGGGTATTCGTAGCACCAATACCCAGAGGGTAGCAGGAATACTTGCCGTGAAACAAAAACTGACACTGTAAGTAGGTATAAACTGCACATCCATGAAAATGGAGATTAATAATTTATGTTTAGGGTCGCTGCCTGCCTGTAGAACCTATGGACTGGATATAAACACCAGCAAAACCAAGCTAATGATCATCAGCAAGCAAAACATAACTGGAGCAAATCTGTATGTGAACCAAATGAGAATTGAACGTGTCTCACAATACCATTACTTGGGAACTATGATCAATGAGTCGTGGGACAATACCCAAGAGATTAAATGTAGCATCGGAAAGGCCAAAAGTGCATTCTTAACTATGAGCTCTGTGTTCAAAAGCCATGACCTCACCCTGAAAACAAAAATAAGGCTCCTTAAATGTTACGTATACTCAGTGCTTCTGTATGGAGTAGAATCGTGGACATTGAAGGCGGAAACTCTATCAAAACTTCAGGCGTTTGAATTATGGTTATATAGAAGAATCCTGAAGATACCATGGACAGACAAAGTCACCAATGAAGAAGTACTGCGGAGGATGAACACAACCGCGGATTTGGTCAACATTGTGAAGAGCCGTAAGCTGGAGTACTTGGGACATATTATGAGAAATCAAGGCAGATACGAGCTACTCCAATACATTTTGCAGGGTAAAATTGAAGGAAAAAGAGCCCCAGGACGAAGAAGAATATCCTGACTTGCTAACCTGAGAGCATGGTATAGAAAGACCTCAACACAGCTATTTCATATAGCAACCAACAAAATCATCATAGCCAGAATGATCGCCAACGTTCGGAACGGACAGGCACCCTAAGAAGAAGAAGAAGTCGCTGCCTGGGGATCGCCAGGGCACGTCTGTGGCAGGGTGTTGAGGAGGCGGGCCCCTGTCATACCATCAGCTACAGTCCAACAACAAGTGAGCCAAACAACAACAGGAGCTCCACTCGCTGAAGGTGCTGCGATGGAACATCAGCCGGCGCTCACTCAAGCGGGACCACCGAAAAAATTGATTGGAAGAAACTATTGGCTGTCGACAACATCTGTATGCCGAATTTTGCAGGGAGTACCTAGAGATTCAAGTATCTAAACAACGAATAGCAGATCAATACCGGGTAATTATAAGAAATAATCTTATCCTTGAGACTAGACGCAATATCAGCAGAAGCGAAGTCTAACGGGAGATTCACAACCAAGAGCTAGTTGTAGATCAAGTCCCTAATGAAGCCTCTAATGACCAGATTCATAAGCCTCTCATACAAGAAAATCAACCTATTAATACACAGCAGGACAACAACGAGTTGCACAATAGCCTGGTAAGTGAAATGGTACGTACCGTACAATAATTTAATGGGACAAACCCTCCGCTACCACCGCTACCAAGAATAAACTCTTGTAAGAAACTAGGTGCGCTGTTACAAATTGTCAACACTGAAGTCCTACCCAATTATATCGAGGAAGCTAATACGTTAGAATATTAGGATATGCTGATTTACTGTGCGGCAACAGCAATTGCTAATGTTATGGGCATTAAGATCAGAACACGACGGGGTACTAATATCAAAAAGACAGATAACAGAATTGCACCCTGGGAAAAACGACTGCTCAGAAAAATTGAATTCTTGCGTAAGGATATTGGACAAATTCCGGAATACCTTCGCGAAGTATGAACTTCAACAGTAGTTAAAAGAGCTGAAGAAATAATTCTGAACACTCCCAGATATTCACAACATGATCCAGAAAACAATACAGCTCAACACTGCCTAGACACATTAAAACAAAAACTCTCCATTTATTCAGGTCGTCTTAGGAGATACAAAGTTATTAACAACCGGAAATGTAACAATATACTTTTTGGGCATACAGAGAAGGCTTTCTTCTTCTTCATTCAGGCTTCTTCAAAGTAATGAGTATTTTTTCGATAAGAAGTCCTTATCATTAGTAAAAAATGAAACTAAAGATAGCTATATCTTTCACGCCTGGACCAAGTTAACTATAGGGTGCAAGATCTCGGTTAAAACAATTAATGTACCTTACTTATATTCTGCCAGGAATGAGAGTTAATAAAATAACTCCGCCGTAGCCAGTCCAAAGCCAGGTTGAGAAAGGAGGAAGGTTAGCTTGTCGGCACTTGGAAAACAAAAATATAAGCTAACAATCTCAATAAAAGCCTTGAATACCGAAAGGAACAAACGAAAACGAACTAATTAGCAAAAAGGGACAATGAATATAGCGGTACTCACTGATATAATGAAAATCAAGGAAACGAAATATTAGAAAAATATGTCTATTATCATAGCGGAGTAAATAAAGAGCAAAGAATAAAAATATAATAAATATGAAAAGGATTCTTTTGACGGATATAATCCGTCCATCTGGTCGGCCCACGCCCATTTGGTCATAGCTATTTTTTCAACTGCATCCGTGACTCCTGTTCCTCTTTTTATTTCTAGATTTGGTACTTTATCTCCAATGGCAATACCTAACAGTGAGCTTTCCATGGCGTGCTATGTAAGTCTTCTTTTATCTATTGTTCCTTTTGTCAGACTTAGTGTTTCTGCACCATATGTAAGGACCGGTAAAACACATTGGTTAAAAACCTTTTTTTTTTAACAAACTGGAATATTAGACTTAAAAATGGTGTTGAATCTAACACAGGCAGCCCACGTGAGACCTAACCTTCTTTATATTTCAGATGTCCGATTATCTCGGCCTAAGCGAATCTCATACCCTACATAATTGTAAGATATTACTGGTCAATTCTCTGGCTTTCAATGAATTTTATCGCTGACACAAAGTTGGTCATTTATTTTGTCTGTGGGGTGTTTATAAATTTTAAAACCAATTGTTTTTGATGCTTCATAGAGCATTTCCAGCATTTTTGTAGCTTTATCAACTCTATCAGATATTATATCGATGTCATCGACAAATCTGAGGTGGTTAAGATCCTTTCCACTTATATCTTATATATGGTGATAATCCTGTATGACCCTGTCTAATTCCTCGTTCTATTCGGAACACACAAGCCACAAGTTATAGCAATTTCGTAGATGCTCCTAATCAAGACAATATATAGGTATTCCATGCGGCAGTTAGCAAATGCTCGAAGCATTTCATGATGATCTATACTATCAAAGGCATTTTCATAGTCTACGAGTATAAGAAAGAGGGGCTTGTTGTATTTTGTGCACTTTTTTATCAGCGTTTTAATATCTTGGAGATGGTTAATTGTTCCGTATTTGGAGCGGAATCCAGTCTGTTTGCAAGGTTGGTAACTATCCAGTTTGTTTACAAGTCTTTTCGATATTTTTTTCTATAAATAGTTTGTATGTATGGAAGACCAAATTAATATGTCGGTAGTTGTTTAGGTCTGAAATGTTATCTTTTTTGTGTATTTTGGTTACTATTGCATTATGCCATTGGCAGGGAGTTACGCCTCTTGTAGAACAAACATTGGACATCTTTTTCACACATTCACTAAAGTTTCTTCTCCTTCTTTGATTTGTACTATGACAATCCCATCTTCTTCATATAATTTATTGGTTTGTATCTTCGAAAGACCTTTTTTTACTTTCTTTGTTGTGATATCTGTAATTTCTTCTAAGCCTACATTTTGGACTTTTGGTATTTTGACTAAGGATCTGGAAGTTCTACTCGTTTATACAATTCTGAGTAAAAATATTGAGTAATTTTTCAATATATTTCTTATTTGGTTTAGTTTCTCCCTGTTTATTTACAAGTTTGCACATATTTTTCGATCATTTAGTCATTTTTGCTCAGGCGAACATATAAACTCACTGATTTCCTTGATGATTTTCTCGCTCACCGTAATTTTTCTTACTGAGTCAAACGATAGTTGCTAAGGTTAAGAACTTAACTAACTTAAGGATTAGATGGACTAACTTATTTTTCCTCAAGCAACGTCAAGAATCTGTAGTCATCCCTATATATCTTATAATGAATGCTTCTTTTAATCAAAGTTCTCTCGCTCCGTCCTAGTTTCGGTTATACTTCTATATTTAAGAAAGGAAATAAACTTGATTGCAATATAATTATCGTCCAATCAGCCAATCACCAACAGTATGGCTTTATCAAAGGTTGTTCAACGGTCACAAACTTATTTCATTGTAAAAGGGATTGGTCATCATCTTTAAACAATCGGCATCCTGTTAATGTAGTCTACTTAGACTTCTCCAAAGCTTTCGACCGTGTTCCAAAACGTCGATTACTAGCTAAATTGGATTACTATGGTATCCGCAGAAATTTAATCATTTAGATTCAAGATTTTCTATCCCATAAATATTTTTGGGTTCATGTTGGAAAGACTACTGACTAGATATGACAGTCAAGAGTGAAGTCCCACAAGGATCAGTACTTGGACCGCTATTTTTTTGTATCTAAATTAGTGATATTCCGCTCATTGTATCCAGTAAGGTTTCTATTTACGCTGATGATACTAAATTATATGTGAATCTAACTATTAACCAATATGTTCTTTAACCCGATTTTAACCCAATATTCGAATGGTCCTCATTTATTTATTTTATTTAGCGTATGGCTACATCACAGGTTCATATATATACATATAATATAAATTATATAAATTATAAACAACAGTTATTGTTGTGTCCTTATTCTATTGAGTGTAGTCCAAATTCGTCTCGGTTGGTTGAAGCCCTCAGGTTTGCTTGTAATACATGGCATGTTCCAGTTAGCTGGTGCAGCGTTATTCTCCCATTGTTCTCTCCACCGCTCAGTTACATTAAAGTTTTGATCTACTAGCCTTTTTGCTGTTTTTAGAGGCGGGTGTCTTGAACGGAGCCTATTTATGTCTTTGGCGGAAGTTCCGACATGTGAGCGGAGCTCAGGATCAGTATTGATTT